TTACGTTTAATGTCATTACTCTATTAATCTGGTTAGCTTTAAAACCATTAATATATTAAAGTAATTAGGTTAGGTTTAATGTCATTACTCAATTAGTCTGGTTAGCTTTAAAACCATTAATATATTAAAGTAATTAGGTTAGGTTTAAAGTCATTACTCCATTAATCTGGTTAGCTTTAAAACCATTAATATATTAAAGTAATTAGGTTAGGTTTAATGTCATTACTCAATTAGTCTGGTTAGCTTTAAAACCATTAATATATTAAAGTAATTAGGTTAGGTTTAAAGTCATTATCTGTTAATATAGTTAATTTTAAAGTTGTTCCTAATCAGTTTGAGTATGTATGTGTGTGTGTATGTGTAAACAATTATTTAAGTTTAGTGCCATATAATCACACGTAAAAATATTTTGCATTGTTTATGGGTCAAAATTTTAAGGACTTTTGTTTGTTTGTTAATTAAGCTCAAAGCAACACAATGGACTATCAGCGCTGTGCTCACTGCGGGTATCGACACCCAATTTTTAGCGCTCTACCACTATTTAAAAACAAATAGTAAGGCAGTGGATTAAAATAATGTTGTTAGGTTTCTGTGTGTTTTTGTTACTTAAAATACGCGTTCTGTTGTAGAAAGAAAAACCAAAACCTAAACTTAACTATCAACGACTGGTTCTGTTTCATTAGAATAACACTACTGAAAATACCTATCTCTGTTCGTGATTTGATCAACTTTGAGGAGTAAATTCAATTCTGTAAGCTTTGGATTATCACATTCTTGTTTGTTTGTTTTAGAGCAAGCCACATTCCAACAAATGTAATGAGTGAAATATTGTTGTTTTCCAGGTGTATTTGCTGGGGTTCGGTCTACATCTTCTCCTATGAAGTTTAAAATGATGACTAAGCTTGTGAGTGACGTGGAGTTTCTAGGTAACAACTATGACGTAGGGACGTTGTATTTTAACCACGATAGTGACGGAACGAGGGTGTATGTTAACGTGAGTATGTTTAACCCATTCGGTGTGAAGTCAATCTTTCTTAGCCTAAATTTTACATCACAATAAATCAGTGGCTAAAGTCAAGACCAGGAACCTAATGGCCTGAGTCTTCCTAGCGGTGGAACTCTATTCCGATCCCAATTAACCCTTGGAAAAGAATTCATATAATCCCAAAAATATAGTAAGAACGTAGATGTTCTTAAGCCTAATGACTTGAGTCTTCCGAGCGGTGGAACTTCATTTCGCCCCCAATTAATCCCTGGAAGAAAATTCATATAATCCCAAAAATATAGTAAGAACGTAGATGTTCTTAAGCCTAATGACTTGAGTCTTCCGAGCGGTGGAACTTCATTTCGCCCCCAATTAACCCCTGGAAGAAAATTCATATAATCCCAGAAATATAGAAAGAAAGCAGATGTTCTTATTTGACAAAACGGGCAGAAGTAGGCATATGTTGATAAATGAGCTTTGATTAACCTATGATACTTAAACAAGAAAAAAAAGAGCGTTATGGGATTTCCTACTTTACAACAGCATCTGGTGTTTCCTACATTACCACAACATCTGGTGTTTCCTACTTTACAACAACATCCGGTGTTTCCTACTTTACAACAACATCTGGTGTTTCCTACTTTACAACAACATCTGGTGTTTCCTACATTACCACAACATCCCGTGTTTCCTACTTTACAACAACATCCCGTGTTTCCTACTTTACCACAACATCCGGTGTTTCCTACTTGCATTGACTGGGACCACGAGTGATAATTTATTGATGTTCATTAAATACATAAACTGTATCGTGTGATAAATTCTCTACTACAACAATGTGTTACCATTTCTAGTGTAAAATGTCTACGTCTTACTCTCTCCAATACAATATGTTTAGGTGTTACCATCTCTGGTGTGAAATGTCTACGTCTTACTCTCTCCAATATAATATGTGTAAGTGTTACCATCTCTGGTGTAAAATGTCTACGTCATATTGGAGAGAGTAACCAGAGATGGTAACACCTAAACATATTGTGTGTGTGTGTGTTAACTTATATATACAATTCTACCACTTTTTGTTCACTTTTAATATCCCACTCTCCGATAAGAAAATATCTCAAAAATTAAGACGAAACTTGTATTTTATTCTTCCAATCAGCCAGTGAATTTTTTTAAAGTAATGTCAACGTTAAAATGTTACTACTGTGGACAAATATAAGACGTGAATATTAAAATATATTTAATTTTTATTTTATTACAAACTTGAAGATGGCGCTCTGTGTACTTTGTTAATTTCAAACGTTTTACGATTGTTGTTTTACTTAACGTATCGTGTTTTTTTAGGTTTCTTTATTCTCTTATTAGATAAAACCCGTAGAATTAACCACTAGGGTGAAAAACGGATACTTACAAGCGCTCTGCCTCGAGCTTCACCAGCCAATCGCATCCCTGTAACAGGGCGAACTTGATATTTATTGCCGCCTTGTAATTCACAATTCATGTCTATTCCTATCTCACCCTCCACACGGACTCCCAAACTAACGTCCATCACAAACACGCTGAAACTGTACACTGGAAAGTGTTCAGAAGGTCTGTAGTTCAAAGAGTATTCTGAACAATTGGCGTGGTTCACCTCCAATTTTGTGTCCCCCAGCACCTGCAACATACCAACTGTTACAGACAAACTAAGGAAATATTTCAACTAGAAATGAAACCTAAACCAGTCACACTGTTCTACATAAATGTTATTTATTTAACGTTCAGGCCACGTTACACCAAGTACTTATTTGTCTGACGCCAATCATTTGTCACTGTAAGATTAGGAGACCTGTCATATACTCATTTGTTACTGAAGTCTGACCCCAAACAGCTTTGTTACATTCTTCTAAATAAAACTGTCTTCGTGTTAAGACATAGACATCTCACACCAGAGATGGCAACACCTAAACATGTGATATTGGAGAGAGTAAGACGTAGACATCTCACACCAGAGATGGCAACCCCTAAACATATTACATTGGAGAGAGTAAGACGTAGACATTTCACACCAGAGATTGTAACACCTAAACATATTATATTGTAGAGAGTAAGACGTAGATATTTCACACCAGAGATGGTAACACCTAAATATATTATATTGGAGAGAGTAAGACGTAGACATTTCACTCTGTGCCACTAGGGGTCCTGTGAATAATGTTATGACATTTCGTCGAATTCATTATTCGGTATTATACAGCGGACCAACTGTATAATGAGTGTGTGTGTGTGTGTGTGATGACGTATAAAACCTAACAGACGACACGATTAATAACCTATAAGTAATAGACAGATATCACGATTGATAACCTATAAATAATAGACAGATATCACGATTGATAACCTATAAAAAACTAACAAACGACACGATTAATAGCCTATAAATAATAGACAGATATCACGATTGATGACCTATAAGTAATAGACAGATATCACGATTGATGACCTATAAGTAATAGACAGATATCACGATTGATGACGTATAAAACCTAACAGACGACACGATTGATAACCTATAAAAAACTAACAGACGACACGATTAATAGTCTATAAATAATAAACAGATATCACGATTGATAACCTATAATCGATAATGAGGGTTAAATTAAAATTATATGCCAGTGGTTTCATGTCCAACAGTTTAAGTTACAAGTCTTAAAAAGTTTGAGATTTTGTGTGTGTGTGTGTCACTACCGCGCTTGACTCAATTGTCCGTCTCTATCTCTGTCTGTCTGCAATTCAATTCCGATTAATTTGTCTCACGTTATCCGGCGGCGCACTTATATACAGGAATATAGGGCGCCTAGCACATACTGGATTATTCGTGTGTTCCCCGATCCTTCTAGAATATCATGACGTGTTACCAGAGTCACGTGACTACCGCTGTCGTAACAATATCAAGAAAAAAGTCAGACGAGCAGACAGCTCGCTTCCAAAATCGCCATTCGAGACACGACAAAAACGTTTGAATTAACTGTTACATCAGCAGGCTGTATACATTTTTCAAACGTTTTTATCTAACGAAAACGTTTATTTAAAATTGTTTCCAACTATTTTGCATATAGCTCATCTTCCTAGAAGTATTAGCTCGACCTGCAAGATTTGATTTCTACGTGGCAAATAAAACCAAACACACGCACTTCAACTGTTTCAGTAACATATTTCACCAAGTTTTATCTTCCACCCCGTGGCACAGCGGTACGTCTGAAGGCTTAAAAAGCTAAAAACCACGCTTCGATACCCGTGATGGGCACAGCACAGATAGCCCATTGTGTAGCTTTGAACTTAACTACAAATAAAGAAACCAAGTTATTTTTTCAAGATATTTCAGCATTACAACAGCATGCAGCGAATCGAACAAAAATATTATTCTGGTTCATTATCTGAAGGCCCGGCATGGCCAGGTGGATAAGGCGCTCAACTCGCAATCTGAGGGTCGCGAGTTCGAATCCCCGTCCCACCAAACATGCTCGCCCTTTCAGCCGTTGGGGCGTTATAATGTGACGGTCAATCCCACTATTCGTTGGTAAAAAGAGTAGCCCAAGAGTTGGCGGTGGGTGGTGATGACTAGCTGCCTTCCCTCTAGTCTTACACTGCAGATAGCCCTCGTGTAGCTTTGCGCGAAATTCAAAAATAAACAAACAATCATTATCTGAAAAACTAGTTTACATATTTTAAAACTTCCTTGTAATGAAGCATCTAGTTAATGTGTATAGTTTTAACCTTTTTTTTTTCGCTACTGAATCAGAATATCGGTGGGTAATTTACCCCAATCGAAGATATAAATATAAAACAGATTATTAAAACAGAAAAGTCATAGCTTCAATAATTTGTAAACGTAAAATAGGCGGAGTTGTTGGAAAGACGTTATAAGCTAGCGTTGTGAATTAATGACTTGCTTATCCTTAAAGATCAAGTTTACACAAAAACGTGAATTAATGACTTGTTTAGGCTTAAAGAGATAGTTTACACAAAAACGTGAATTAATGACTTGTTTAGGCTTAAAGAGATAGTTTACATAGAAATGTGAATTAATGACTTGTTTAGGCTTAGAGAGACAGTTTACACAAAAATGTGAATTAATGACTTGTTTAGGCTTAAAGAGATAGTTTACATAAAAATTTTAATTAATAACTTGTCTAGGCTTAAAGAGCAAGTTTACATAAAAATTTTAATTAATAACTTGTCTAGGCTTAAAGAGCAAGTTTACATAAAAATGTGAATTAATGATTTGTTTAGGCTTAAAGATCAAGTTTGCATAAAAATTCGAATTAATAACTTGTCTAGGCTTAAAGATCAATTTTACATAAAAATAGGTAGTCAGGATTTACTTACCCGATAGTTTGCTTCCAAACTAATCTTCATTGGGTCATAGCCGTAACTAGACGAGATACAAGCATCAGGGGTCAAATCTGCATCCACATCAATATGATAATTGAAATTTCCCCCTAAATTCAAAGCGCCTTCTGCAAACTACAAAAAAAAGTATATTTGAATTTAAAACTACAGAATTATCTATAGGGTTTGAGTCTGTTTTATTTCACCATATAGTAACCTAAATTAATTTAGGTATGTGAATAATGTTTGTTTGTTTGTAATTAAGCACAAAGCTACACAATGGGCTATCTGTGCTCTGCCTATCACGGATATCGAAACCCAGTTTCTAGCGTTGTAAGTTCGCAGACATTCCTAATCGTGATATCTGTCTATTACTTATAGGTCATCAATCGTGATATCTGTCTATTATTTATAGGCTATTAATCGTGTCGTCTGTTAGTTTTTATAGGTTATCAATCGTGTCGTCTGTTAGGTTTTATACGTCATCAATCGTGATATCTGTCTATTACTTATAGGTTATCAATCGTGATATCTGTCTATTACTTATAGGTTATCAATCGTGATATCTGTCTATTACTTATAGGTTATCAATCGTGATATCTGTCTATTACTTATAGGTTATCAATCGTGATATCTGTCTATTACTTATAGGTTATCAATCGTGATATCTGTCTATTACTTATAGGTTATTAATCGTGATATCTGTCTATTACTTATAGGTTATCAATCGTGATATCTGTCTATTACTTATAGGTTATTAATCGTGTCGTCTGTTAG